GAAAGGTTTTGCAATGCAGAAATCTGCATCAAAATTGCAAATAAAGCAGTATAAAAAGCTAAAAAATCTAATCTTAGATAATTTTAAAAAAAATTATAGCTTAGAAAGCTGCACCTACGTACTATGTGTACCTGTTCCAAATAGGTGGAAGATATTGCTGATCAGAAATTTGCAAGAAAATGACAAGTTCCATCATGGTAACAATTGACTTGTTTTTTATACTAGCCGCAAGTTTTCTTCTGGATAGCAGGACTCCTTCTAAAACCTGGGCATTTTTTCCTCATGTGCAAAATGCATCTTTATTTTGTGACCCTACACTTAACTCCATCAAGCCTCTGCACTGCTCATGGAATGTCACAAAATTACAACTGAAGTCTCTATTAGTAGGTAAAGACCTTTTCGAATGAAGGTCTCGTGTTAACTTAAGTTCAAAATAATGTGTAGTGAGATTGTGAGGCAGTGGGAGATAAATCTTGATTCGCTAATGCCTTACCTCAGTAGAGAAAAACACCATTGACAATGTGCTGCTTCAGGGAGTTCTCATATTGAGCCTCAGCCTCTGCTACATTTTCTGATGCATTATTTTATTTGTGGATTGTCGACTGCTTTTAACCCCACACATTCTCTAAAGAAATATGGGCCTCATCCTGATCAACAATATGCCATTTAACTTGGTTTATTCCATTCAGTTTCTAAAGGCTGTATTCTACTGAAACCTGTGTTGATCATACTGAAACCTGTCTTTCAAAGGCTTAAATATATCGGTGATACATTACTGCTTTTAATTTTTAATATAAAGCTTCTCTTGGAATTTTTTTAGCTCTTTTCTATCATTGAAACTAAACTAGTGCTCTGCTTTGTCTATGGATTTTGGCAAAATTGACGAGAAGTAGGTTTTTCACAAAATTGGATATTAAAAGTGGATTTTGGCAACTGTCCTTAGGCCAAGAGTCAAGACTCATGACTATATCTAATAAACCGTTTGAATGGTATTGCTTTGTCTACTTGGATTTCTTTTGCGCCAGAGATTTCACAATGTCTAGAATTCAGGAAGGGAAACAAAAAAAATTGCTACGTGGATAATATCCTACTGCATGGTAAACTGAAGAACAAATGAGATCAGAGGCTGAGGGACATATTAAAGGCACTACAAAAAACAGGCCTTCAAGTAAATTAGAAATACCAATCCGCTAAAATGATTATATTCCTAAGACATATTATCCAAGAACAAGATATCACAGTGGATCCAAGGTGAGCAGGAGCCATCAGTGAATTTTTAGCATTCAAGCAGTTCTTAGATATGACAAATCAAATGGGAAATATTTACCCCCAACTTAGCTACTCAACACATACAAGAGCTTTTTAAGAAAGGCGAACAATCGTACTGGAGTTACATACAGACTGCAGCTTTTGAACAGATTAAAGTAAAGTTACTTCCTACCGATATTTTAGTATGTTTGAATCCAGGTTTATTCACTGTAATGGCCACAGGTGCATAATCAACCAAATTAAGAGCAGTCATGATGGGGCATGAGAAACAGTCTATTTTACATCAATAGCTTTAACTGAACATAGGTACATTAAAATAAGTGTTAGCAGTTACATGGGGATAAGACAGGTTTGAAGACTACCTCATGGCACTGAAATTCCATGTTGAGACGGACCACAAGCCTTTGGGAGACATGACTGGGGTTGAAAGAAGTCACAAAAAAACCTGTATATATACAAAGATTCAAGCTTAGGCTGATGATATTCAACTATGGAATAGTTTATGTTCCAGGCACATTGACATAATGTCAGCTACATTTGAGATGAACAGAAAAACAAGATCTCAGTCTTGAAGGAGTAGAGACTTACTCTATGGCTATAACCACCACTTCACTGCAACCCAGGGTGAATGCAGACAAAATTGTGCAGCTAAGAAATCTGACAAGGAGCACGCAAAAGTCTAACAATTCTTCTGCAAGGATGGTAGAAATGTAGTTCGGCAGACCAAGTACTGAAAGGTTATCAAGAGCAGAAACAACCCTTGACAATAGTGCAAGATTTATTGATGTAAGACCATAGAATGGCTGTATCAAAGTTGACATGAAGAAGAATCCTACAGAAATTTGACTGATTTATTGTTGTCACATGTACTGAGATACAGTGAAAAGTGTTGTTTTGCATGTTTATACAAGCAGATTATACCATACTAAGTGCATCAGGGTAGCAGAACAGAGTGCAGAATATAGTGTTATAGGCGCAGAGAGAGAGATCAGAATTAACATTTGAGGAGTCCGTTCAAAAATCTGATAAAGGCAGGGAAGAAGCTGTTCTTGAATTTACTCGTACGTGTATTCAAACCTTTATAACTTCTGCTCGATGGAAGGAGTTGGAAGAGAGTATAACAGGGATAGGAGGGGTCTTTGAATATGTTGGTTGCTTTCTCAAGTCAGCAGGAAGTATAGGTGGATGGATGAGTGGTTGCCATATCATGCTGTGATGCATCCAGATAGGATTCTTTCTTTGCTGCATCTATAAAAATTGGTAAGAGTCCTTGTGGACATGCCAAATCTCCTTAGCCTCCCAAGGAAGTAGAGAAGTCAATGTGCTTACTTGATCATTGTGTCTAGATGGGTGGATCAGGAGAGATCTCTGGTGATAATTTCTGTCATGGTCAGTTATGGATTTGTTCAATTTTAAGGAGAAAATGTATTTAGCTGTACTTGACTTTATTTTACAGGATGGATTGAAGTGGCAAGGCTGCATTTAACCACAGCAGATTCAGTGATCAGAGCACTGAAACAGAACTATGTGATATATAGTTTCTTGGATGGATTAATATTGGACAACAGATCTCAATTCATGAAACAAAAGTTTTCAAGAAGGCACTTTGAAGGCAGACATCAATCATGTGACAAGTTCTCCATTCCATCGCCAGTTGAATAGGAAGGGTGTAAAGAACAGTCAAGACTTTGAAGTCACTAATGCATAACAATCCACGCTGGGAATTAGCTCTACTCAGCTACAAACCAACAATATTAAATAATGGGCTCTCGCCAGTGGAACTAGGGAGGTGGTTCAAAATTAATTTAGCAGTTTTAGGACACAAACTCAGGCCAAAGTTAATATCACAAGACCATAAGAAAGTAAAAGAACTAGGGAAAAGCCATAGCAAAAAGCAGCAGAAGTGGAACAGCTATAAACACAGGCTGTAAACTTGTCAAACTTTAGACCAGTGCAGAAAGTCCGGTTAAAAGAAGTAAGTAAAAAGCCATGGCTGTTAGAAAAACAGATCAACTGAGATCTTATATTATCAGAATGCCGGCAAGAACATTCAGGAGGAGGAGGAAGGCACTGACCTTACTCAGGCCAAGTGAGACAGAATATGATCATTATAACATGTGGGACAGCCATGTCTATACCACATCATACAGTATTCAAAATGGTACGACACCATCGCCCCAGTGCTGAACTCGTGAACAAGATCAGGACCAGTCAGAGTTCTAGATTGTCTCAACCTGAGAGATTAAAACTTCAAGGGGGGAATCTGGTGATCGGGAGGCATTAGTGATAAGAGTAATAACGGTGATAATTTGTTAATAATGACTTTAATGATTACATAAACTATACAAGTAAGTAAATGACTAGGATAATGTAGACGAAGTAGAGAGACATTTGGGAGAAACCTGTAATTGAACACATGATTCTACCATCAGTAGGACAGAAGATACCAGTCAAGATTAAGCATTTAAAGAACAAGGCCTTTTGCACTATACTTGGGAGCTGTATTTGACAAACAATGTACATTTGTAAATAAAGGAGTATTAAAGTACATAGGAGTTACAGAGTCTCACTTAAGAGATAAGGAGCAAGCAGCTGCAAGGAGAGTGTATATGCAGACACACACAGCCTGCCATAGTCCAGACTAGTGTCTCAAAGGGCGTGTGGCAGTATTGGCTTAAAGCAGGAGTGTGTTTAAAAACCACATAAGTCCACAGTTTTATTTTCTCTCATTGGTAGCTTTCTACCAGCTTCATTTGGTTTTGATTTGCAATTTCTCAATAACCTAAGCAAATGAGTTATTCTTTTAATATGGCGTTAAAAATTATGAACACAGGTATGACGTGAGGGTCATAGACATTTGCAATCATGTGATTTTTAAAAATAAATGCACACAGGATTTTCTTCTTTTAATTTTAGTCGCCCGTGTCTCCTTTCCCCCGAAGATGATGATTCATGCTGGGAATCTGTTCCATAGGAACCAGCTGCAGCTGGTAAAAGCAAATCTTTATATACCTCTCCCACAGCCTCCTAAGCTTCACAGCCACTGGACAGAATCTTCCAGGCCTAGAGGATGCAAGGTAGGAGGTGAGAAAAGTATTTAATCAGACAGGGTGATGGTGTATCAGAGCTCCACCGCTTTCCTGCCTTTCATTGTATTAAATTGTGGGCAGGGTGGTCCATGGCTGATACTTTCACTACCATCATCTGAGGCCCTGAAGTGGTCAA